ATCCACACCAGTCTTCTTCCCCACCAGCTCATTTTGCAGCTCAGGGGGAAAGCCTGCTCCTGCGCCTTTAAGACTTCCTTCTTGAAGAGCAACCAGACGTCTTGAACCCCTTTACTCTCTAAGACTGAATCCCAGAGGACTCCCCCTACTAGTCTCCTGAACAATTCAAAGTCTGCCCTCCAGAAGTCCAAGGTAGCAGTTTTGCTGTTTCCCCTCCTGGTTCCCCCAAGAATCAAGAACTCTACCATTTCATGGTTACTCTGTCCAAAACAGCACCCGACCTCCACATCTCCTACCAGACCTTCTCTGTTTGTGAACAGCAGGAATAGCGGGGCAGCTCCTCTCGTTTGCTCTCTCACCAGCTGCATCCTCCATACACTCCAGAAACCTCCTAGCCTTCTTGTTCTGCACAATGTTATATTCCCAGCATATGTAGGGGAAGTTGAAGTCCCCCATGAGGATAAGGGTTGGCGATCGCGCAGCTTCCACCAGCTGCTCATAGAACACCTCATCTATCTCTTTTATCCTGGTTTGGCAGTCTATAGCATACGCCTCGTATGCTATAGACAGGATGTCTGCCTTGTCAGCCCTTCCCCTGATCCTTACCCATAGGAATTCAACCTTATTATTCACAGCTGTGAGCTCAATTACATTAAAGCACTCTCTAATATAGAAAGCCACACCACCACCACTCCAGTCATGTTTCCGCAATGGCAACTAGTTCATAGTTGGCCTGCTGCACAGTGGTTTCCAATTTTACTTGTTTGTTGCCCTTGCTGCGTGCATTGGTGTAGGTGCACTTCATCTGATCCCCTCACATCACCCCTAATCCCATTACCGCTCCCCCATGCTCATCTCTAGCTGGCCTGGTTTTAACATGCTTTCTCTTTTTAAATGACATAGTTAAGGCTTGATAGTAAGTGTTTTCACTGCCGTCTCCTGCACTGCCACTGGTATACAGCTGGGCATTCTGCTGGAGGGCCTCTAGCTGACATCGTTCACCAGCACCTGGACTGGATACCCAGTTCCCCTGAACCTGGGTGGTGAGGTATTTCTGGGCAAGATGTGGCCACATCTTGCTTTTGTGAGCTCGCTCATATGGATCTGGTGGGGTTACAAAAATACTGCTGTGTACTGCACAAACAGCTACCAGAAGTTACAGCACTTTTTAAAACTGCCAAATGCAGTCCCTGTTTACACCAAACACTGTGTGGTCCTGTTCCTCCAAGGAGACCCAACCAGCCTTTGAAACACTTCTGTGTATTATCAGTACTGAAAACAGTTCATGTTTTATTGTAAATTCCAGCTATTTGCATCTTCCCATTTTGCAGTTCCCACTGCATAGAGATCAAAGACCCAATTTTTCCTTTGTATGCATTCATGTAAACCAAGACTGACTTCAGTGATGTCAGAATAATGACAGGTATAAAACAAGGAGAAATGAAAAGAAAATCAGGCTATCAACTATTTTTTTTAAAGCTCATGCATTACTAATACTTCCAATTTAAATGCAAATTTTTGTTCCTAACACAGACCTTTAGGGAAGTCTTCTCCAGATAAACTGTAATAGGATACCAAATGGTAATTCAATATTTAACTTGTATTTTAGCTTATGGGTCTTAATTTCCTATCATTTTGTTGCAACATTTGCTTATGGGAAAGAATTACATTGCTTGTAATAAGACTGATAATATTTAATTATATTTGTTTATTATATTTAATTTTTTTTATATGCCAAGCATCCATGCCAAGAGTGTATCTATTTCTATTTTGAGTGATGGAAATCAGCAAGGTGTGACTTTACATACTTCAGGAAGTAAACGAGACAGACGGCTGAGAAAAGGCAGTAGAGTGTAGCTATTGCTGTATGATATGTGCATTCTTGGGGTGTATTGCTGTCAAACACTTGTGGTCATATCAGTAAGGCTCTGAGCCGTTGCTGAAATCCCATGGAGTGGGGACCCTTGTGTTACTGATGGCTAGAGTTTTCCAGGAGGCTTCCATTTGACTCCGTGTCTTTGGATAAAGGTATGGCTGTTCTGCCCTTCCCACAACAAATTCACTGCCATCACCAAATCTGCTCCTGGGTAAGGAAGGACTTGCCTCTTGTGAACTCTTTCCAACATGACCATTAATCAACCCTCAGTATCCCCAAGTTCTCCATGGTTCTCTTACAGATGTAGGAATAACCAGAGGGACTGCTCGTTCAATTAAGCCTTTCAAAATAATGACATGGTTTGTTTTTGCCACATATATGTGTATGAAGAAATTTTTTCTCTGTATATGCCTCCCTCAAGCTCTGCTTAAGTGCAGCTTGTAAGATATGTATTCAACCTTAATGTAAGTTCTCTTCTGCTGTAAGTACTGTAAATAACCCAATGCAGTCATTTGAATGACTACAAGTCTACCAACACAATCTAATGCAGTTATTGAGGAGTAACCTGAGTTAGTGTTTTTGCAGCAGCTGATGATACGAGGCGGCCAAATCAAGCTGCAATTGGAGTCTGTTTGCTCATTTTACAGGCTGAAAGTGTGCAGTGCAGTAGTTGGCAGCAACCTTGGGTCTCATTTATTTTTAGCACTGCCAGTGGAAAAATAAACCTCACAACTGTTCTGGAGATATAATCTTGATAAGGATTTTATAAATGTAACTTTAGGCTTCAGTTTTTTCTTAATGGCATTTTTTGTGTGTTTTTATTATTATTATTATTATTATTATTTCTAAATTCCTGAGCAGTCACACTTCTTAAGCTGACCGTAGAGCTATGACTTGGTTATGTTCTTGTGTAACCCCCACTGCTCTCCCTTGAGTCACAAACACCTAGACCCATTGCCACTGAGACAACTGATTTTATGAATGGGACACAATGAAAAATAGCAGAGCTATCCTGGAAGAGCTGGGTAGAATATTTTTGTCACAGTTTGTTATCAGTAAACACAGTTCTTTTCGAACCAAAGCACTAAGCCAAACTTTAAGTGAAAAAGGATCTAGTGCTGCTGGGATCTGGAGGGGACTGTAATTTTTGCCGAATCACCTCTTTTCATCTAAATAAGCCCTTGAATTCTGTTGTGAGAAAAAAAGAAAAAAAAAAAAAAAAGGAAAGAAAAATCACTATTGATCTTAAAGTTTTCAACAACCCAAAGAAAAATTACTTTCACTACAAAATTGTAAACATTCCAGGTCTTTTTCAGACTGAAATTTTATAAAAATCACAAACTGAAATCCTTTTTTAACATCAGTTCTGTTACCTGTCAAAACTATAAATAGTAATTACAAGACAGCAAAAAGATTGTTTTCTTTGGAAAACATTTCAGAAAGATAAAATCAATGAGAATGGCTTTGTTATAATGGGCTTTCTCCAAGGCATAAGCTCTTACTGGAATTTAACAAAGTGTACTAAAAGCTATTTAAAAAAGAAAAGGAAAGATCAAGTATTAACTGATAGAACTTTTCACTTTTTTGACCTTGTAAACTTCACATCATAGTGCCTGACAGAGTTAGAAGTTTTCCTAGAAGCAGTACGTATGTATATCCTGTTATCTTCTTTACTGGTTTAAACGTATTGCATAGAAAGCATGCATTTTTAATTGTGTTTGTGGAAAAGTTGCCTGGTTGTGAAACTAAGTAATTGGAATTTGTCCATTTGAGCAATGTGAATTACTTTTTTAATAGTCTTTGCATTTTTCACTTCAGCATTTCAAACTGATCCATGTGCAGAAAAGAATCTGAGAGAAAGATAAAAGTCTCCATCTAGTGGGCAAGAAAACTTTTTATTAAAAAAGGCAAACAAGATTTTCACTTCATTTTATGCATGAGGAAATACTGCTTTAATTTGGTTTCATTAAGCTGCCATGTTGTTCTTAATTCTTGCCTTCTACAAAGCCATTATTTCAGATACAAAGCCAAAATGGTAAAAATTATTGATAGTCTTGAGCAAGAAGCAATAAATGATACAAAATGAGTGGGTTTGTACAAAAAAAAAAAAGGTAAAAGTTGATTCATAACGTTTTAGTATTTCCCTCTTTTCAAAATATACGGTAACCAAAAGTGATTGTCTGTCAACAAATATTTGATACCAAATATCAAGTTATGGATGTTTCCAGGCAGGATTTAGTACAGGAGTGTCTGGGGTGTATTTTTACACAGGGAATTCTCCCCATGTGTTACTTCAGCTTCCTTAAATGGTCTTCTTACCTCTGAGGTGCAAAATCTGGCTTCCCTGGCAACCTCACCCCATGCACCGCTTGTAGCAAGGCACTGCCTTGTCAGCCTCTGTTCTCTTTTACGGAGGCTAACACCACAACTCCGTTGTCCTGCCTTTTGTCAAGGACCCTGTCTAGCATTGTTGTGTGTTCAAAATCATCCTGGCAGGATATAGCAGATTTATTTTAGTTGCATAATTATTGAGAACAGTACTAATTGTTTTTTTTTCCTTCTTAATCTAGTGTACTGCATTGCAGTTATGCTGCAAACTCCCAGGGTACTCTCTCCTTCCAATCATATATAGTTAGCAGATGAAACCGTTTCTTCAGTGAGTTTCAGGCTCAGAATTCGTGGGAAAATGAATGAGCAGAGGCACCTGTAGATTTAGCATGGCATACCAAATACATTTTATGTCCTGCCTTTTTTTCTGACTGCTCCTCATTTTTAAGACATGCATCAACTCCCCCTGTGTAGTTTACAGGGGGACAGTATAACAGGTCATTGTATGACTGCATTATGGTATATGAGTTTATTATAGCCCACCTTTATACACTTCTTGATCACCACCTGGCACCTGTCGTTTGGTTTGTTTCACAGACTAAAGGAAGGAAGGTCTTGGAGTTATTACTTTTCTAACTAACTGGTATTTATTACAGCTTTTTTTTTTTTTTTTTTTAATCTAGGTTAGATTTACTCAGCTTTTTTATGTGGGACTTCTTTGTGGGACTAGCAAATTTCCATTTATAAATGCTTTTGTTTCAACAGTACCATTAAGCCTCTTTCTTTCTTTTTGTAGCTAACCAGGTGTTGAAGTTTGGAATGCTTGTCAGTACTTCCAATACCTATGACAACTCTGGGATTGTGACCATCAAGACGGACAAGCCTTTGCTGTGGACAATGGCAATCAAACTTTAAGATGAATTGCAGCTACCTTTTCTGATCCAACTGAATTTACAGCAAAATTTCACTGAATTGAGACAGTAAAACTGATTGTAAGGGAATAAGTATGCACTACATAGGTAATAAATGGAACAGAAATAAAAGTCATTTAAGACCAAACTGAGCCTAGGAACAGCAGATCAGCAGAGGCACTGTCACCCTATATGATCACAAACAGAAGCATATGTAAATAAATTGCTAACCTGGTTAGTTTTAACTATTATTCCAATACTAAACTATTTTTCCCCATTTTTCCAAAAGCATACAGTCCTCAGTTGCACAGAGTACACCTTCATTATGAAAAGCATAATTTTTTTCTGACCCTATTTCTAAAATATATAGTTGCTGGTGACATTTTCTCAAAAAGAATAATAGTTGAAACTTTCTACTAATAAGGCAAGTTTGTCCATTGAAGAAGCTTTGGTTTTGCTGTAAGTCCAACATCAGACTTCATAACATTAACTGATTTTAAAGTCTGCAATGCAAAATAGCACTGTAACTTCTACAGTTACTGAATCTTTCTAGTAAGTTTTTGGAGTGAAATACAAATTTCTTTCTCTCAATCTGCAGACCAATAGCATTTCATCTACTAATTTCTGCAGTTTATAAATCAAAATATTCAGTCATTCAGCACATGAAATGTTCTCATCAATACATGCAGAGGCCTTTATAATTATGTATGCAGATGTCTTACAGAACCAGTATCCAGTCAGAAGCTATGCTTCCTTTCCAGCAATCTGAATAAGGTTTTTGTTGATTCTCTGAAAAACTGTTTACTATCTCTTAAAACTAACTTAACGTCAAACTGTACATCTTAGTAACCAAGTTTTGTTTCCTTAATTTTGCCATCAGAGTAAAGATCAGCAATGTAAGTTCTTTTTTTTTCTTTTCTCATTTTTTTCCTGTTAATTACATAGTATAATATCAGTTGCAAATGCAGAAATGAACTAGAGGTAGTGATGATTCCAGAAATTAATTATGACAATTCCAATCAATAGACTTCTAACTCATCACTCACAATAATGATGTCTTCTCACTGCCTACCTTTGCATTGGAACAGATTCTCAAAAGAGACTGTACATTCTCCACCCTTAGAGTTTTTAAGGTCTGAACAGGACCCTCTGAGCATTCTCGTCAGAATGTAGTACTCGCCCAGCTTTGAGCATGAGTTGGACTAGGGATGTCTCAAGATTTATTCGTACTTGAATTATTCTATTACAGTAGAAAAAGTAAGAAGAAACACTCTACTATTTAAAAAGAAAATGTTATGTAGATAGATATGATTGTGTACCCTTTGAAGGAGAAATAAGGTATCAGGAAAATCTGAAAACCCAACCTGAGTTTGCAAACTGTTCAACAGAAAAATAAATTGCAAAATTGTGATTTTTTTTTTCAGTGAATGTCACAATGTCTCATTCATCATGATGAGCATTCAGCTGCCTCTGTTGGGAGAACAGAGTAATCAGTTTCAATTAACCAAGCATCATCAGTGATCCTGTATGAAGTCTAATTTATCTTCCCAACATTGCCTTGTTAAGAAGAATATTACTAGCATTACAATATACATCCTGTTTTTAAATATTTAATTTAACTTAGAGGACAGCATTTAGAGGCATAAGTTAGCTATGTTTAGTGGTCACAGATTTTTTACCTGTCTACATGGATAAAAATACACTAAAGAACTGGAAATCAAAATATTTTACATCCAGTTTTGAAGCAGATACTTGAAAAGAAACTTAACAACTAAAGATCTAATATTTCTCAGCATGCTGAGATGTGAATCCAAAACTAATTATCTTATTGACAGAGTTCTTTGAATATTTACCAGTATTTTTCATATTACACTAAAATATGGAATGCAAAGATACTAAAGCAGAGACCCTTTGACATGGTCCCCTTTGACAAAGACCCTTTGACGTGATCCCCCACCACATCCTTATCTCCAGAGGACAGGCTGAGGGAGCTGGGCTTGTTCAGCCTGGAGAAAAGAAGGCTGCTGGGTGACCTCATTGCAG